GTAACGCTCTGGTGGTGGCTGAAGTTGCTCAATAACGGGTTCGCCACGACGGCGTTGGTTTAACCGCATAAAGACACCCACTATGAGACGTACACGCATGGAATGATCCTCCATCTTTGTTGCGATGAGGACACACGCCGCGGTCAGATAAGTAATGTCATCGTGTTCTCGCAGGTTAAACAAACAGTAGTCCAATGGAGCGTATGGATCCCCAAACATAAGAACACCAGAAGGACGTTCTGTCCCAACGTGGATCGGCACCGTGTACGACGTTTTTCGTGCCCCAGACAGCACATCTCGGCTGCTATTCCCCTCCGTGATACTATATTCATCTTGGTAGTCTCCGCGCTTACGCCGGACCTGTTCGGCGACCGCTTGGAAGCGTTGGAACAAGACGGCAGCCCTGTACGTCACGGACGGAGTGGTGCGAAGCAAAAGACACCCCGTGCGAATGAGATCCACTCCGTAGGAGGAGTAGCCACGCCTGGCATCGTCTATCCATCCAGTAACCAGGGCCATTTCTCTTCACACCGGTGCCCCCACCCTACCTCACCTCCTCCTTCACAAACTTGCCCTATTCACTCCTGTGCCGTAGGGCAAAAGAGGCGACATGTTTGAAACAAACAAAAAGAAGAAAAGGGATTTAACACAATTTGTAGGCAACTGGTAAAAAGACAGAATCTAAACAATCTCGAAGGGAATGCAGTCAAAAGAGAAGAAAAAAAAAACAATAAAATAAAACAAACTTCCACATACGGAGAAGGAATATATACATATATATATATATATATTTCAGCAAACCCTCGCAAAAACAATGCCTGACAAAGCGAAAAAAAAAAAACAACCTCGGCCTTAAAAGAAAAGAAAACATATTATCTGAAACGGTTTGTTGTTACACACACACAAATGTGGCGTGCGACTAAAAATCTTCATCCTCCAAATTCAAATTTTCTCCATCGTCATTACCATTATCGGCGCTATGATACATCGGGTAGTTTTTGTTTCTCCCTTTCCATTCACCATCGTCCCCATTTTCCTCAGGTTGCTCCTGGCCCATCGCTCTTCCCCGAATCATCGACTGCAGAGCCGAGAATTCCTCATCGGAAAGATCCATGATGGAGGGGTCCACCTGCGCCACTGCCTCTTTATCACCCCTCAAAAAAGCCTTCTGCATGGATGTTATCTCATCACGAGAGAAAATAGTCTGACGCCGATTCTCTTTCCGCTCCATGTGATCCATCATTCGCTCAATCTCCATCTCTTTTGGGTCAATCTCCTCCACGGTGTCTTCATCAATCATGTTCCGAACTTCTTCATACCTCGCTGCACTCAGGCCTTGCCTTTCTGTACAAATAGATGAAGGCAGGCATAGGGCGTTCGCAAACGCCTCAGCGCCTGCGTATTCATTAAGACGTAAAAGACGAGGTGACAACTGGTCCATGTTTTCGTGATCCATAACTGCTTCACAGGCCTCCACCACAGTGCTGCACACGCGCTTGCACTTGGCATATGCGGGCAACCTCGATACCCCCAATAAAAAAGGAGCCGTATCACTTTCATGAGTGATGGTAATCTGTCGTATCCACTGGCCAACATCCGAAAAAGGGTTGCATAAATCTTCTATCGCCGTCAGCACGTCGTCCTCGTTGACCCGCACACGTGTTTGCACGCTGGCGTTAACCAGCAGTTGCACGTCGCCGTATGCCTTCCCTACCATAAAATTGCAAACACCACAACTGATGGCGTTAACCACGTCCTTTGGAAAGGGGGCATGTGGCGGCTTCTCCTTCTTTGCAACACCGGCTGCGGAAAACAACAGCGTCACTGCAAAAAAAATGCACAACTTAATAAAACGCATAGGACGTCCCTCTCGTGTTTGTTTGCTTTTCATTTCTACTTTGATTCTATCCATTTCCCTCTCTATTTGCGTCCCTTTGCTTGCGTGCGTCTGTGAATTTTACCAGCTCCCAAAATATTCCTCAACTTTGTTCCACGCCTCACAACTCTTTCCTTCATTCACATAACAGGATGACAAACAAACATGATAATAACACTAACAATAATAATAATAATAATAATAACAATAACAATAATAATACGCGCAGCTGGATCTAACATCCATAACGGCATGAAGAAAAAACCAATCCAATAACAACAGAAAAACGGTAGATCTACCACCCCCTCTGCATCCACACACACACACACACACACACACACGGACGGACCCACCTACCCCCCTCAAGAAAAGTGCATCAAACCTTTGCCATATCGGCTCCAAAATTCCACCCCACTCAAAAAACATTCAGAACACGTGCAAATTCAGTCACCACCTCACAAGCACCTTTTCTGTTTCAGTCCGTTGTACCTCCACCACTACTGGGATGACGAAGAGGTGTGGGTCTTACCCTCAAATTCCTCACGGATACGTTGAATGCCTTCTGCGTATTGTTTCCTGGAATGCTGCAGCTCCTCGTCATCCTCCTCTTCATTGAAGTAGTAATACACAATCGTTCTTAGCCAATCCGGCATGTTGTCTTGGCGCGCCAGTTTGATGGCATGTTGGTTGATGTAATGACCCCATGGTTCGCACGTACGCACCAAGGACGTTTCCAAATTTAACAAGCGATTAATAAACGATCGGTGCGTCACATCGGAAGCCTTCTCTTTTACAACACCACCAAAGCGGGATGGTGAAAAGGGATTGTGCCCAAAAGTCTCCATTTCTTGCCCGGGTGGAGGCCCTGTGGTGGCAAGCCAACCGTTCCACAACATCTGCAGCTCCCGATGGAGTTGATCCAGACGTTTTTCTGTCATAACGACATCAATCTGTTGGCCTCTTTGCCTCATTTCTTCTTCGTCGTGATGTAACATCACGGAAGCCTTCAATTCAACAAGTTTTGCCAATATCTTCGCAGAACCCGGTGCCATATCAGGGGCATGGTCACCAAAACCAGAGCAAACAAAGGAGTTAAACGATGCCCCGTTATTCGCTATCAACGGTACACCGTCTGGAGTAAATGCACGAATGTACCTCGTGACCCTCATGTGGTCTGGTTGGGTCACACCTCCCGCAGTGCTGTTAAAATCCTGTCGCTCTTGTTGATATTGTTCCAGCAGCGGGATATTCATTTTACATTTCACACGAAGGTATTTTTCTAAGCGTTTCAAAATTCCCACAACATTGGATTCTGACTTGTTTGTCGAGTCAAATGACATCAAACCTTGCACAATGATTTTCTCTTCCTCACTATTCCTAGGGTCACCGCAAGAAGGTAATTTGTACGCCACAAGGTGACTGCTTGGTGACAATGAGATCATGCCTGGTGAAGCCCCAGAGAATAATTCCGTAAGGGGGTTAGACGCCTTATCAGGAGAGGTCGCCTTAAAAGCAACGGAGCATCCGCCTAAACCAATGATGGGGAGTTGCGAGGAACCCCACGTCAAGGGGCCCGTGTAATTTCCAGCTGTGAGCACAACAACGTCAAAACGGCGGTTTCTGTATTCCGGCTGACCATCAACCTCACGGGCAAAACGCAAAGTCGACATTATCTCCGAACTGTAACGGAGATACGTTGTGCTGTCGACGAGCTTCTCGCCAAGAGCAAACTCCACCCCGTACTGTTTCTGAGAGATCTGCGCCAACTCGCGTGTCCAACCGACTGGATCAATCAATAAAGGTCTCGAATGCGCCGTTGCCGCGGTTGCTACCCTTCCGGCGTCACTTGACGTTTGGTCCAAAGTGCCCACCGAAACATTACGACTCAAAATATAAGGCGACAAGCTCCGGTGCCTACGGGCAAGATCCTCAACAACGTCAAGGCTCAAACGTGACAAGTTATTCGTGTAATACATCACCTGCTCTTCACTGATTGCGTTCCAGCGGCGCGCCCACAACCAGCGGTGAATATCCGTAGAAAAGAACGAATTCCATGAGTCCTCTAGAGATATAATATCCGGGCATGTTGTTGCCAAAGTTCCACGCAACAATTCCCGACTCATTCGTATCGTGTGAACGTATGGCTGAAGAAGACCAACACCCACAAACGGAAAGGCATACTGCGTTTCACCCAATCCAATTGCGCGACTCTTCTCAAATACAGTGACTCGAAAGCCAAGCTGAGCGAGCTCGTATGCGACATGAACCCCAGCAATACCAGCACCGATAACGGCCGCAGTTGGCGTCGATGTGTCGAATCCTTTCAGCACCTCATCCGTATCGCCGCCGTGGCGAGGTGAAGGCGTCAAATCGTTAACGCCAGAAGCGCGCGATGCCGAAATACCCATCAAGCCCTTTTGGTTACCGCTCGCCGTGTGTATTACAGACCCGAATAATGTATATGAGTATGCGTATAAGGGCCTACGACTACCACGCACGTACACACACACAAATACACAAATGCATATGTATGTGTAGATAAAAAATAAAAAGAGAAAACGATGCCGTTGTGCGACCTCCATTCTTCTCCTGCATCACGCACACGGCGCACAAGAGTACCAAATAAATAAAGGGAGTGAAATTCATTCCACAATTTTACACGAAAAGTCAATAAGTAGAAAAAAAAATTATTTATTTCTTTTTTGGGGGGTTATTTGACTCTTTTCCAACTCCTCTTCACTTGTTTCCCTCTTCTTCATGCCACAGGCCTCAAAAAGGATGCCGCGTCGCGGAGCCACTCCTCCTGCACCACAGACACATCCTTCATGTACCGCCTCGTCGTGCGCACCACACTGTTAAAAACTACCAACGCCGGCTTTTTGCGCTGATAAAACAGAACAGACGACGGGTGAAGATGCACCACTTGTTGCCCCACCACCGTCTGGTAGTTGCCAATCTTCGCATTGTAGAAGGCAGCATTAAGAGAAAACCCGTAGCACAGCGCCCGTCGAATAAGTTCAAAATCGCGCAACTTCACCATACCCGATGTTTGTCCCTTCAGTAACTCCGATGTTTCATCATCCCCTGATGCATCCTTTTCACTGTCACGCCGACGCTTCCGATGGAGTGCGGCACCATTGCCCGCCAAATTTGGCGATCTCCGCACCATTGTTGAAAGCAATTCTTCATCACTATGCTCGTTAAGGATTGCTCCAAGTTGCGTCATGACATCTTCCGCCTTAAGCATCTGACTCGGATTGACTGCGTTTGATTCACACCACATCTTTCTTTGATCCTTTGGGACACGTTTGTAGGCGTAATAGATGCCAAGCAAAGTAGCATGATCGCCTGCTGACTTGGCAAAGGCAGCCTTGCATCGGTCAGCTCCGTCCTTTGCCTCACGCGAAGTAAAAAAAAGATTCTCTGTCATTGTCATGGAAATAGCAATTGTAACGTCCCGTTCAACCCCCAGGGCTTTTCCTGCCAATAACACGATGGCAGCCATGGGCTCAATGGGAAAATCTATCAAGCGTTGTCCTAGACGTGTTATGTGACCTTGGCGATCCAACGCACCAAGAAGCATCAACGTCTCTTCTGCCCTCACTACAGCCTTTGGGTTTGGGGCATCCATAAATTCAAAATCCATGATGCGGTCAATTCGGAGACTCTTCATTTCAAGTACAACACTGATGAGTGAGCTCCGTTGAATTTCCGGCACGGTATTTTCTGCCAACGACTCAAAGGCCTGTGCGGTGTACAGACGAAAACATTTCCCCGCCGTCATACGTCCCGCACGCCCTGCACGCTGTGTCGCTTGTGCTTTGCTAACATCTACCTCAGACAGCACTTCCATACCAGATTTGCTGCTAAAGAACTTTGCCTTCACCACCCCACTATCCACCACATACCTAATACCCTCCACTGTAATAGATGTCTCTGCAATGTTTGTTGACAGAATGATCCTTCTTTTACCTGGCAACGGAGGCTCAAAGACCCGTAGCTGTTGCTCATAGGGCATAGCCGAATAAAGCGTCAGTATCATGAACTCTTGAAGTGTACTTGGCATTACCTTCATCCGTCGTTCAAGAATACGCTTGGCATCCTCAATCTCCTCCTGACCCGTTAAAAAGCATAACACATCGCCAGGTTCTTCCTTTTCGTGAATTTGCAAAAGTGTGCTTACGGCAGCCTCAACGTAATCTGCCTGAGGCTCCACAGTGTGAAAAATCGTCACTGGGTACAACCGACCATGGACTACACCGATGGGAGCATTCCACCAAAATTTAGAGAAGTGCTCTGCGTTTAATGTGGCTGACATGACAACAATGGTCAGTGTTTTTTTCCTCCTTCGAACGATGTCCTTTAAAAGGCCAAAAAGAACGTCGCCGTGAAGTGTTCGTTCGTGGGCCTCGTCAAGAAGTAAACAGCGATAGTGTGAAAGATCCGGATCCGTCTGAATTTCACGGAGGAGAATACCATCTGTCATGTACTTGATTTTAGTTTGACGGCTGCAGGTGTCATCAAAGCGTACAGCGTACGCCACCTCGGCGCCCACGCTTCCCCCGCGCTGTTTTGCCACATGGCGGGCAATACTGACCGCCGCCACACGACGCGGTTGTGTGCATCCCACAATTCCCTGCTGCTCGGGCGGTTCCCTCGAGACCAAATCGTCCCAAACGTACTGTGGTATCTGAGTGGTCTTGCCAGAGCCCGTTTCACCCACGATGACCACCGCATTATGACGCCGAATCATACGGACGATGGCCCCACGCGCCTCCTCCACCGGCAGGTGAACAACAGTCCGAAAAGGCTTCGTCATTTTCTTCTTCATCGACATATTGGACAGACAGCAAATAAGAATCCAAATACTAAAATCTGCGTCACGTACCCGCCCAGTCACCCCCCGTCACTCGCTTATTGTCTACATAAAGAAAGGAACAGATATTAATAATAATAATAATATCAATGTACATACAAACAAAGACGAAAAGAAACGACAACAAGAATCAATATATATATATATATGTATAGACAAGACGACCATGGAGGCAGATGCACTATCTCCCATTTAAATACAATAAAAACCTGCATGTAAAGCCCTCCAGCCATTTCCATTCATGCCAAAGAAATATTCCGATCACAACACCTTCGATGATGGCCATGCATGGCTCTCGTAAAGCACAGCACCGCCGGTTGTACCAAATGTAATAAAATCCGCCCCCCTCAAAGCGGTGGACTTCCAAAAAGTAATCATCTCCGTTAAGATACGCATGAAACCCATGCTAAAAGATAAAAGGCGGTAGGCGTTCTCGGCGTAGAATATTACGGGACACCTCCATCCCATGCATACCAGCCAAAAACACGACCTCACACCTCACCACCAGTTTTCAGCATTGAAGCTGCCGCCTTTCGTGGACATGGTTCAAAAAAAAAAAGTGCATTTTTGCAGGCTGCTAGTCAAGTGTGCAGCCGCATTTTCTCGATTGATCGTACGTTGCAGAGATGACGGCAAAAGAGGCAAAAAAAAAAAAGAAACATACAGAATTTACTTCAATCACTCCGTTCCTGCCGAATAGAAGACAGCAAAAAAAAAAAGAAAAAAAGAAGAGAGAGAGCAGAAAAAAGGACAAAATCAAACAAACAAGAAGACGTCTCTTTCCTCCTTTTCTTTTTTAGCTACACAGCGAGGCCACGTCTCCACCAAACTGAAGTGTAGCTGGGGGATTTCCAAAAAAATGCTGAAACTGGTAAGCGGTGTAGATGTAGAATGGTATATCGATCGGTTGCAGACGCAGCCACTCTGCACGAGCGGCATCCCCCATCGGTGTCTTTGCTTTCAACGCCGTGGACAAGAGCTGGTGTCCTGGATATGTCGCCTCGGCCCACTGTTCTGCTAGGGCAAGGGAAAGCGTGATTGGAATTGTCCGGCCACGCAGTGGACGAGGAATGCGGTCATGAAACATTCGCCAAAAAATGTAAAGAGGAGGCATGATAATACACGTAGGAGCCAAGTACATCTGGTACTTCATAAACCGATACGCCGTCCAAAACTGCAACTCCTCCTTCGTACTAGGCAGTTGGTCCTCCACACAGAGACGACGACAGTTATCCATGAGAACCCTAATGTTCCTGGTTTTGTCACGTGTGTGCCGCTCGCTAGGAATGGGGTAGAGCGGAACTCGGTAACGCAGCCCGTCTGTTCCCTCCCAACTGCGGGCTGTCGGATCATATTCGCCGAGGTCGTCATCTTCCAACACGGCCGGCTTAAAGGATGTTTGGGTGGTGCCTAACACAACCTGTGCAAAATCCGCAATGAACCCAGTCAGGGCACTCGCCAAATCAAACAATGACGGAATGTTCTCAATGCCGGTGTTATAGTGCGACATAGGTGGGACCGCAGAAGGCACACCTGCCCCTCCTCAAAATTCCTCCACTTCACAGAAGAAAAAATAAACTCGTTGCACAAAAAGATAGAAAATAGAAATAATAAGCAAAAAATGTAAACCAGAAAGGCAAGAAATAGGAATGAAAAGGTATAACATAAAAGA